AGTCTTTTAAGATTTTCGACCTGAAATCCTGACATTTAGGCATATTTGAATGTAGCTATAAAGGAGAATCAAACTGAGTGCTATGTTAGAAATCCTTATAACTCTTTAAGAATATGACTCATGACTGCAAGCGATTAAAAGTTATCGGAAATCATCAAAAACCATGAAAGAGCACTTTAAAATATAGAAAATCTTCAATAATAAGATTACAAGTGGCGCCCTGATTTCTATTGCTTTATATTTGTTTTCTTGACTGTCAATGATTGCCAATATTTTTAATAGTTGCTATTCCTATTGATTCGTGATGAACAAATAAAATTCATTTCATCTGAAATCAGAGAATTCAAGAAATCAGTTTTGTTCTCCCTTGGTAAATATCCTAATGAGAATTCTAATTTTGTGAAAAAAATCAATTAACTAAGAAGATCTTCTATTATGTTCAACGAATTGTGCTTTCAAGATAACATCATATAAGCAGAGAGAGAGATTTATCATTCGATTTAGAATATTCTAATATATAACTTCATTGAAAGTATATAATTACAATAGAAGAGTTGATGAGTGAATCGCGTTTATTTAAAATCATTTGTAAAAGATATTTAAGAAAAATGGAAATGATCATATTGATCTTGCATGTTATTTTATAAATTTTCAAATACGTATATTTATAAGATCTCGTTTTTGATTATAGCAAACAGCAATAGCTATGACAAGAACATTAATGATTATATATTAAAATAAGATGTCAAAATTTATCATCAATTTCGTTTGTAAATAAATGTGCATTTCGATAGCATGACTACTGAAACAATGAGCAATAGATTATAGTAGTATATTATTTATATGTCTAACATGCATATAGATTATATCAATAAAAATGACATTTAAAATCATCTGTTTTCTAGTTGTAGCATTTTGTTCATCCTTAGTATGCATGTGTTGCAACCTAATAAAGCTTGTCTCAGTTGTCATCTGGTTCTTATTCAGATGCGAATATATTATCATCTTTCATAAATGTCAATTTACTATTTTATTAGACGAGATTCTCAAATGAATGATAAAATCGAACATATTTTATAAATAACAAATCAATCTTTAAATATATAAATAGATACTTTAAACAAAATTATTTTTTTATACTTAAGTATTGCCTATGGCAATAATAGTGTACTCAATAATTTTAAAAAAATTTACTAACGAACCTATTGAACTATTTTCCGATTGAAGTAAAACTATTCGACATTATTTCCTTATATTATTCATTGTTAGTAGTTTTTCTTTTTGTGAGTAATTACTATTCATTGAACTCTGTTTTTGAATAATTTTAAAAACATAATTCACAAGAGAACATTTTCTGTAAATAACTGTTGAGACATGATTTGAATAAATAGAAGAAATTTAGACCAAAAGATTAAAAAAAAAAGAGATCAATAAATTCAACAATGAAAATTTCAATTCATTCAAATTCTTCATTATTTCTTTAAAAGTTGAGACTTAAGATTTATAAACAAGAATATATTCACACTGTTTTATAAAACATAGTGAATATTCATTCACGATTGAGAATATTTTTTTTTATAAATAATAAACGAGCAAAAAAAGGAAAAAAAAAAAAAGATTTTAACGAAACAGAAAAGAAAAAAAAAACCTATCCGCAATACAGAAAAATAAACAACTGACATCACCGATTCATTATAGTTGTTGCTATAGGCATATGTTCATTCGAATCAATAATAACATTATTCATATTATTTCCTGTACTACGTCGATTATTTGTCCAATTATCAAATAAATGATAACCAGTACCTGATGGTTCCCAATCATCACTAGTTGATTCAAGTGAATAAGTAAATTGTCTTCGTCTTTGACGTTTTCGTTGCAAATAAACAAATGCAACTGCTATACTAACAGAACTAATAATTAATAAAAGTCCTAATATAATTATTGTTGTTACAATACCACCACGAATAGTTCGTTTCATTTTTGGTATAGTTAATCGAGACATTGATTCTATTGATGGAAATACAAAAAAAGAAAAATAAACAAGAGTTTTTTTTTTTCTTTCATACTTGAACAACCCAATTCATCTATGCCTTGTGGACATGAATGATAACCATCACAATGAAATATGTCATCTATGCACCATTGATCTTGACTACTTACTAAACATCGATATTGATTTGATATACATGGACCTATATGAAAAAAAAAAAACAAGTTTTTGTTTGTTTTTCATAAAAATTAAACTTATTTACCTTTTGATATATTTGTTATTAAAATTTCAAATGATTGTATATTAAATTGACATAAACTAAGTATAAGAGGTAAATTAATAATATCTGTTTTAATAAATGTACGATTTAATAATAAATAATTAAATAATTCTATTGATTGCATTTGTTTATTAAATATTTGAAATGATGAACTTATTTCTGACATATTATTAATATTAATTATTATTTGTTCTGAACTATTAGATAAATATGATTTATCCAGTGTTATATTACAACATGTTGTATAAGATAAAGAAGTTGGTGTGAAAAGAATTGATAAAGGATATGATATATTTATTGTTTGATTACAGAAAGACATAAATTGAACTAAAGAAAATTAATATTATAAAAAAAACTCCAATCATCTATTTTTTGTTCTTTCTTTAATTTACCTTGTTTCGAACTTGAACAGATATTTTGAATAAGTACTAGTAACCACCAGCACCATATTAGGATTATTTTAGAATTTGCCATTATTTGCAGATTAAATATATATATTGTTCAGTCATTCAATTGTGCGTTTTGACGAACTGAATAGCAAACAAAATTTCTTTTTCTCATTCGGATATGTATTGCAATCTATCTTGAATGCTGCTGCTTCTAGTTGATTGTCAAATCGGCTGCGCATGTTTCTCTCATTTTTTTTCCTCTTCGTTCTTTCTTTTTCTCGTTTCTTCCGACCTAAAGCAACAACTATAACATCGGGCAGATTCTTTCTCTATCGTCTTTTTTTTTTTTTTGTTTCGATGACGATGATTCAGCTTCGAAAATACGCGAGAAAGAGAGCGAGTGTGTGAGCAAAAGAGAAAAGAGAATAACAGAATATGGTTGTACGTGCTATGCTTTCACCTTCGACAGTTTCTCTATATTGTCGTTCTAACCATCATCATCAAATAGTAGCATTAAGATGGAACGAACGAACAAAAAAGAAAAAAAAGAAGAAAGAAAAAAGATGAGTCGTTCATAGAATAGAGAATGCCATTGACGAATGACTAGATGATAAGTAAAGACGAGATGTTAACAAGTGTAAAAAGAAAAGTAGAATAGAACGAATCAGTCAGATACATCTCTAATAGAAGTACAATAACAAACTCTTGATAAATTGATGTGTGTGTGTGTGTTCAGAAGATTAGATTGACCGATATAATCTACTATGTTCTTATATCACCTCTAATGCATAAACTAGATTTCCCCACGGAAAGAAAAATATTTAAACAAAGAAATCTTAATCTCTATTATATTAAAAAAAAAACAAAGAAAAAAAAGTATATGCCATTTGTGTGGTTAGTTTCTTTCATAAATTATGTTTTAATCAATTAATTCTGAACTTTTGTCATTGGATCTCTTTTGTTTTTTGCTTTCTAATGAATACTTAATTATATGTGGTCAGAAAATCCAAATGCACACTTATAAAAATTGTTTCCTGCAGAAATTTAATCTCTCGATCGATAGAAAGAAAAACAATGAAGAGTCATTCAGAATGAATTAAACAATAATTTATACTAGAAATTTTTATATTGTTATGAAAACTTGAAATATTCAATAGGATAAATAAAATTATCGAATGATCTTAATTAATTTATCATTAGAGAAAATAAAAATGATTGATTAGGAAATCGAACTCAATCTACACTTGACATAGACAAAAACTCGAGAGAATAATAATAAGAATAACAATAATAATAATACAGAAAATTTTCTATGATTTTCACAAGAATTACGTAAACAACAAATTCATTGATTTGGTTTGAATGTGTTTTAAGAGTTTATATCGAAAAATATTTATTAACATGTTCTGTTGAATTTATGATTTATTATACTTATTTAAAAGATTAAATAAATTACAATCTATTTTCTTTTTTTTTATTTAATTGTAAACATTAATGATTTTGACTGTAGTCAATAAAACTTACCCTGTTATTTCCGATATTTATTCTGTTTTTATTACATTAGTCACATATTTTCTGTTAAGTATTCCATAAAAAGGTCATGCTACATGTTTTTTTAATGTCGTTACAATATCTAGACATAATATTGAGTTGCACTTATTATTATACAATCATGTTTCAAGGATATTCGTAAAAATATTTTCTTTTTATTTTCATTTAGTTATAGCAACAAATTATAATGTGAGAAAGATAGAAAAAGAAAATTTTATCATTAAATGTTAATTGTTTTATTCTATAAAAAATACGATAGAACTTTCCTCGAATGTTTTTCCTTTTTTTTATTTACTGACAATACTTGATAAAGAACAGAAATCAATAGAGATGAATGAACATTTGTATATAAAATGTTTTCATGTCTTTCAATAATAATTAGAATACCTCGTTTTAATATCAATGCAATGTGAAATGAGAAATTGGAATTTTCAATAATTTATGTCACAAAAATAATTCTTTCGACTAATTCATTGAGTCTTTAGTTCCTTGAAATTTATTGTTGCAGATAAAGACAGTAATCCTTATGAAATACCGAATAGGAACATTAGTGTAATTATTAAAAGTGGCAAACACATTTCTTGAAAATTCTTTACAATCCTTTCTTTTGGTTTTTAGTTATGCTTAATAGCTCTTTACTGTCAAAACAAAATATACTCAATGACTTCTATCTTAATTTATTATTGGAGATTTCCTATCACGCAGTTATATTATCGAACGCAAGCATAAAAGAAAAGCTTCTCAATATATAGAAATCATAAGAAAATAGATCGCTTGCACATAATTAATGAGCACAACTATTTCATCGGGTATGATAAATTATGTTTTTTAGAAAATTGAGTTTGTATAAGTATCTTGTGACTATGTTTCACTCTATCTACAACATGAATTAAATAAATTGATGGAAAATTTTTTTCAAAAAAAGTAACTACAAGGTATTTGATGAAATAATACAAAAAAAAAGTAATTGTAATAAAAATAATATTACAACGTTAATTATTATCAGTACACGTATTGTTATCTACGGTGCTTGATGACTGCATGTCAACACAATATAAATATAGTGCAAACTGTTACTGTTGACGAGAGAAGGTTATTATTTTAATGATATTTTGTATACTTTAATATTTCAAATATATAATTAAAAATCTTCTGGTGTTAACTGTTCAAGTTCTATTTGTATATTGATGCATTTTTATTCAATATATATGCATTTTTATGGATATAGTTTTGTATTATAAAAATATACAGTAAAAATTTATTCTACAAATTAACATATCATTAGCGTATCATATTAGTATTGAAATTCAGTGCTCGAAGTATGAATTCTTTGAGCCAAGCATAAAAGTATTAATCATTTATAATAAAAACTAAATGAATGTGAATTCTGAAAAGCGGAAACTAATCCCGCATCTACTGTTATCGGACGGATTAAACAAATTGTGAAATTCATAACAGGAGAAAATGTGTTATGCAATAATAGTTTATGCAGTTTTGTATCTTATAATAAAATACTTATTCAATTTCTTATGTCTTTATACTATTTTATAAAATACTAAGCTGATAAGAATAAAATACTTGACTCTTGATCTGTATTCATGAACTATTTTGTTCTCTTCTATCCACAATTACTCCCATAATGATGAATATGATAATCGAAGTGGATTACTTCTTACGCATCTAAATGGTAGGTTCTCTTTCACTACTCTTTACCTTATTATTCATCAATAACATCAAACTTTCATCGTGACATTCCTACTTGCTTTATGTACATGGTAGGAGGAGATAGATGTATATCTAAGGATTACTACTCATGAATAGTCTAAAACACCACACATATATAAATATATATATTCAACTGATTAATGATAATCAAAAGGAAATATGATTATCATTATTCGAATTAGTTTTATATTGGCGTTCGCACTATTATTTATTAAGATCAATGCTACGGGTACGACAAATAACAAATATTATATTGTTTGTTTGTTACATATATATTCTTTTTTTTTTGTTATTCATCTAGAAATTGAGTGTCCTGATAATGAAGAGTACAACGAATGTGGTAGTGCTTGTCAAGAAAATTGTACTCATACACCAACATTTTGCACACTTCAATGTGTTCCAGGATGCTTTTGTAAAAAAGGCTTTGTACGTGAAACTGATGATAAAAGCAAATGTGTACCACGTTCTCAGTGTTCCTGTCCTATAAATGAATATTTCAACGAATGTGGATCAGCTTGTCCGGATACTTGTGCAGCTAGATTTCAATCATGTACTAAACAGTGTGTACCTAGTTGTGTCTGCAAGGATGGTTTTATTCGTTTAAATAATCAAACGGATAGTCCATGCATTCCTGAATCAGAATGTAACAATTCTTTATGTTATGATCTCAATGCAGAGTATACAGAATGTGGATCATCATGTCCACAAACATGTAATGACGAGCGTAATCCAATTCGAAAATTTCGACTTTGTTTAGCCGTATGCCAGAGTGGTTGTTTTTGTAAGAAGGGTTTTGTTCTTGGAGAGAATGAGCAATGTGTTAAACCGGAAACTTGTTGCCAAACAATCAATGGATTATATAACACATGTGGTACAGTTTGTCGACAAACATGTACAAACAAGAACAGCTTATACTGTCTTCTTCCATGTGTTTCTGGCTGCTTCTGTGACAAAGACTACATACGGAAAAGTAATGAAATAAATAGTCCTTGCATTCTCAAAACAACATGTTAAGAAGATTTACTCTAAATAAATCATAATTTTTATTTGTTTTAAAGTTCTGAATAAAAGACACTATTAAAATATAATACGAACTTTTTTTTTTTTTGACGAAAATCTTTAATAAATATGTTTTACATTATATTGAAAAAATGAATGAAACTATCTATTCATTATGTTTTGTTTAATATTTATTATGAAATAAAAGAAGAAAATTATTGTGTTTCTGATATAAGATTCTGTTTGAATCTAAAGAATAAAATAGATTTCTACTGTTAAAATGGTTTAGTCATTCTATTTGATGTTCTTTTTATATGATAATTAGTGGAGAATATTAAATAATTGCTTATTTTGATATAAATAAATATTCATCTTTGTCAACTATTCAAGGTTTGATTCGATTTTAGAGCAAAAAAAAAACGTTTTTAGATAACAATAAAGAAAATAGAAAGCTTTTTCTTTTGTTTGTTTCATGTAATCATCAAATACTAAGAATTCATATCATGCAAAAACAATATGGTAGTTGGATTATTATTGTATAAGCATATTTTTTGAATATTCAATTGAATTAGAAGAAGACGAACACTTATTGAAAAAGGTATAGAAAGTTTTTTATTTTGACAAAAATTTAAGTCATAATTAACAGTTTTGTCAAGATTCTAAAAGAATTAGAAAATTCTATACGATTAACTTTATTTTTAAATAATAGATAAAGATTTGCTTTGATAATAATTAATATTCTACTCTGTATGTAAAAACAAATTCTGATGCTGCTGTTTCATTTTCAATTATATCTTGTTTTGACTCATTATTAATAAATATAGTCAATACTTTATCAGAAATGAAAAAACAACATCATACATGTCGAACCAATTTCTTTTTATTGAATTACTTTAATTGTATTTACATATTTTCATTCATCCAACGATTATAACTTCAAAAGACAAGTATTAATAGTCTATATTAAGAAAATGATAAAATATTTGAGCAGTAGTTCGATTTAAGCATAGTTTCTTCATGCCTATCATTAAAAAAATTTCCGGTTTTCTCTTGTTTTCTAATCAAGAATAATATAAAACAACAATGTATAATTGCTTTATACATTTATTATTATTATAGCTTGTAACAGTTACAACCAATCTGTCTTAATAGATAAATTTTCACCAGCCAATAGATACAACTATTTCTTAATTGACTGGTGTGAATTCATTTTGTAGTTTTAGCACGTCATATTTTTCAAAAATTCGATCGTATTTGCGAATGAAACAATTTATACTAATGTTGAAGTGTGCTTCTGTGATTAGGAGATAAATTACTTTTATTTACGCCTATTTAATTATGGATAAACTATATAAGTATATTTTCAGATAATTGTGACAACTCATACAAAAATTTTCAATCGTTTCTTGATACTTCACAGAGATGACCAATTCTAAGTCAGAATAGACACTGTTCCTTATCAGAGTAAGACTGCAGTTGTATATCTTTAATATTTTACTACTCGCGTTCTTAAAAAAAGGAAGTTAGACTTTTATTTTCTAAAAATAAACAAGCAATGATATTTCTTCAATTTTGATTAATATATTCACAAAATAATTATGTATACGTGTTTAATGTTCGAAAAAAAAAATTAATTTAAAATTTTTTCAACCGTAGCTCTTGATAATGATAAATTTAAATATATTGACATGTGTATACAGTTCGATTAGCTTGATCAAGCTATATGAAAAAAATCTTCATATTTTTCCGATTTAATAAAATTATCTTAATCCATTTGACGAACTAATTCTTTTCTTTCCATAGATACATCTAGCACAAAATGAACTTGATGACATGGATTTGTTTCATCCGGATTAACTTTATCGTCGGATGATCGAATGAATAAGACTTGATCTTGTCTATTTTCTGACATGTCATGTAGTAGTTCATGTGTTTGATTGTTACAAAGAAATAAACTAGGCTAATCACTCAATTCTTCTATATTCTCTGGTATTTTTTTCTGCACTAATATCAATATGTTTATAAGTATAGATTGATTCTAATAAAAAAATCAATATGTGAACGTTCGTCTATTATTATAAAATTATCATGAACAAGAAAAAAGAATGGTGTAGATGTTGCATTTACTAAATAATTATAAGAAACAGATTGTTTGTTATCTTCTAGAATATTATTAATAAATAAAGTTTTATCTTAATTGTATCATTTCATACTATCAATGGATGTTAGATCAAGAAAGACATTTTTATGAATAGAATGAAGATTCAAATCACTAGCAATATAAATAATTGTTTGTAGAAAATATTTTTCCACACTTGTATATAAGTTTTTGTATGACAGACTATGTATCTGACATTAAGATTCGATAGTAAACTTGTGCTTAAATATATGATTATTCCATTCTATGTACGAATAGTTATATTTCATTTCACATTTTCATTAGATAATCTTTTATCGAGTCTCAAATCAATAATATCTCGACCGAGAAATCGATCTTGTTTTCGACCAGTATAAATATAAAGTGGAAGATGAATAGACATGCAACTATTTTTGGTTTATCTTGATTCAAAATGTTTGTTTGAATAACACCAAGTTTTAATGGATCAAAAAGTAGTGCAAATAAAGAATTTTTCATTAAATCAGCTAATTGTCATGATATATTGAAAATGTTTCGTTCTATATAAATAGATTAAAGCGGTATATTCTAACTTCATGTATATTATTCGAGGCCATGTGTATAAAATAAGAACATCGTAGTCATGAAAGATTTACCTTGATCAACTATTGATGGTAATGATAATGTCACAGATAAATGTAAAAAAAATAATGATTGAGACAATATTTGATGCTGAACGACGAATTTATCTTTACCGCGATGATCGTGGACGTAAACAATAGAACCAAGCTCTTTTACTGACACGTTTAAGTTTGACTGGCATTTCCAAAGGTACTATTATGAGATAGAAAATTAATATTGCTTGTAGTTTTCGTCGATTATAAATGAAAGAACACCAGTGTCTACCTTTTACCTCATTATATATCATAATTATGACATTTATTATGACAAGAAGATATTTTTTGTTAGGCGTATAAATAATATAATAGAAAAATAAAGGGTATACCGAATACTAATAGTGAAAACCATTGTATATTAATATCTATCAGTAGGTTTTATCAACTTTTCATCGTATTAATACAGATCAAATAGCCGCCTGAATATTAAAATAAAGAGGAAAACATAACGTTATTATTCAGAAATTCTAGTTTTTTTTTCAATATGAGTTCTTAAGATTCTCAGGACATTTTTAAGAATTACTCAAGATATGTCATCTGCGACAGAAAAAACGAATTCCTGGATCCTATTCATCCCGTTAAATTCTATAAAATTTCATAATTTCGCTATTTACTCATTGATTTAAGTTCTTTTTTTTATCCTGATAAAGAAATAAAATATATTTAATACACGTATCAAAGTTTTGAGTTGCATTTTTTTTTTGTCATAATAAATTCGGTTGTTTTTTTCACTTTCTATAGTACGAGATTACGAACATATTTACAACTTCGGTTATAGTATGAAATAGAACCTTGTCAAAGGTATTCTTCGTTGAAGAATAGTAGTTGATTTAATAAATCAATTTTTTTTCTTCGATCATTGGATACATTGTGTGCTGATGAAGTTAGTCGGTTGTCATAATAGAATCTACTTGATACAAATGATGCCTAATGAATGGTGATCATTTTCATACAGATAGGTCGTGTTAAATAGCAGTGTTAATTATTCCATAACTAGAGAAATAATTCAAGTCTAGCCTCTAATACACACGGTTTGTTTGCCTGTATAATTTAAATGTTTCAGTACAATATTATCATATTCTGTGAAATATTATTTAAGCTATACACTTAGCATTAAACGAAACCTTTTTGATGAGTTTTACAATCGGATAAAAGTGTTTGTGACTAATGAAAATAAAAAACACCTGCATATGTATTAGTATTCCATATACCAAGCCATTCAAATGTTCAACGAATATACATTAAAGAATGAGTTTTATTCAACAAATTCATTAATTCAATTTAATCTTTCTCGATGAATAATTTGTTCTATTGATGAAAATGTAATATAAACAACTTGATCATGATTAACATATGTTTGCAAAAAAAAAAATTCTTTCAAATACTGAGTTGAATAAATATTTGCAAAATGAGAAATCAGACATGGGTATGCATGTTTGTGAGAGTGAAAAGAAGGCTAACACTCATACTCAAATCCTTTTGATATATAATTTACTACAATAATTCTCAAGTCGACAATAGATAAAGGTCAATTGATGAAAAAAGAGTTTTACACTTATTGATAACTGAAAAGATTATATAGAATTTAATCAATTTCTATCTCATAGAATAACAACTTGTTAATAGAATATATGCTGAAATACTAGTTGGATATCTCTGTATTCTTATAAACTGAGTATTAGATAAAAAGAAAAGGGTGAATGTAGATAAAGAGAAGACAGCACCCACACCCTCACCCTCTCATTACGTTCAATTTTCAGATTGATGTCTCATATGTTTTAGTGGAAGATACTCTCAACTCGTTTAGTACTTCATTTTGACTTGAAGAAAAACATTGGTTTATGAAATGCAAAGGAAAGTGTTTATTTTCCAAAGCTCATATTGCTCCTGACTATCTCAACATTTCTTGTCAAAGAAAAAGAATAAGTAAGCCATGCATATATTCGATAATGACTGTCAAACGATAATCTCTGACCATCTGAATAAAATTAAGATGAAAAAAAAAATTCACATCAGCACCAATCATCATTTTTCTCATATCGAAGCACCTATAATCAAATAATCCATATCATTCAAGATTCGTGTTTTCATAATCTATCTGAAATAGATTTGAATAGATTTATAAACTTAAAATAAGCATGGCTAATGAGGATAGTAATTATATCATAGAAAGGTGATTTCAGATCTTTCTATGTATACATCATTTTATTAAAAAACCTCTC